TATTTTTAAAGTACAGGCTCAGATTCTTTAGTTCAGGGCAGTCACTTCATGCCACACCAAGATGTAATCTCTCTCTAAAGTAGATTTAACCAGCCAGGGGAGGATCACTCATAAGGACGGCCACAACTAGGTCAGACTAAAGGTCCATCTAGACCAGTATCCTGTCTTCCGACAGTGGCCAATGCCAGGTGCCCCACTGGGAATGAACAGAACAGGTAACCATCAAGTGATCCATCCCGTCACCCATTCCCAGCTTCTGGCAAACAGAAACTAGGGATATCATCCTTGTCCATCTTGGCTAATAGCCATTGATGGACCTATCCTTCATGAACTTATCTAGTTCCTTTTTGAACCCTGTTAGTGTCTTGGCCTTCACAACATCCTCCGGCAAGGAGTTCCACAGGTTGACTGTGAGGAAAAAATACTTCCTTTTGTTTGTTTTAAACCTGCTACCTATTAATTTCATTTGGTGACCCCTCATAACACAAGAACTAGGAGTAAATAACACTTCCTTATTTACTTTTTCCACACCAGTCATGGTTTTTTAGCCCTCTATCATATCCCTCCTTAGTCGTCTCTTTTCCAAGCTGAAAAGTCCCAATCTCCTCATATGGCAGCCGTTCCATACCCCTAATCATTTTTGTTGCCTTTTTCTGAACCTTTTCTAATTCCAATACATCTTTTTTGAGATGAGGTGACTACATCTGCACGTAGTATTCAAGATGTGGGCGTACCACGGGTTTATATAGAGGCAATATGATATTTTCTGTCTTATTATCTATCCCTTGCCTAACGATTCCCAACATTCTTTTTGCTTTTTTGACTGCTGCTGCACATTGACTGGATGTTTTCAGAGAACTACCCACAATGACTCCAAGATCTCTTTCTTGAGTGGGAATAGCTAATTTAGACCCTATCATTTTATATGTATAGTTGGGATTATGTTTTCCAATGTGCATTACTTTGCATTTATCAACATTGAATTTCACCTGCCATTTTGTTGCCCAGTCACCCAGTTTTGAGAGATCCTTTTGTAGGTCTTAGCAGTCTGCCTGAGACTTAACTATCTTGAGCAATTTTGTATCATCTACAAATTTTGCCACCTCACTGTTTACCCCTTTTTCCAGATCATTTATGAATATATTGAATAGGACTGGGCCCAGTACAGATCCCTGGGAGACACGATTTACCTCTCTCCATTCTGAAAACTGACCACCTATTCCTACCCTTTGTTTCCTATTTTTTAACTTGTTATCAATCCATGAGACAACCTTCCCTGTTATCTCAGGAAAACTTGCTTAAGAGCCTTTGGTGAGGGACCTTGTAAAAGGCTTTCTGAAAATCTAAGTACACTATATCCACTGGATCCCCCTGGTCCACATGCTTGTTGCTCCCCTCAAAGAATTCTAGTAAATTGTGAGGCATGATTTCCCTTTACAAAAACCATGTTGACTCTTCCCCAACAAATTATGTTCATCTATGTGTCTGACAATAATGTTCTTTACTATAGTTTCAATCAGTTTGCCTGGTACTGAAGTCAGGCTTACCAGCCTGTAATTGGCAGGGTCACCTCTGAAGCCCTTTTTAAAAATTGGCATCACATTAGCTATCCTCCAGTCATTTGGTACAGAAGCTGATTTAAATGATAGGTTACAGACTACAGTTAGTAGTTCTGAAGAAACTCAATTGTGAAATTGCAGAACTCTTGGGTGACTACCATCTGGTCTTGGTGACTTATTACTATTTAGTTTATCAATTTGTTCCAAAACTTCCTCTACTGACACCTCAATGTGGGACAGTTCCTCAGATGTGTCACCTAAAAAGAATGGCTCAAGTTTGGGAATCTCACTCAGATCCTCAGCTGTGATGACCGCTGCAAAGAATTCATTTAGTTTCTCCGCAATGGCCTTATTGTGCGCCGCCTAGTGCTCCTAGTGCCTAGTCCCCAGCAGGGTAGAGAAGCTGTGGCCCCGCGCCTGCCAGGGACAGAGAGCTCCAGGGCTGCCGGGCACTGGTGCTCTCTGTCCCGGGCAGGTGCAGGGCCGCGGCTCCTCTCCGGCTTGCAGGGAAGCCGCGGCCCCGCGCCTGCGGGGGACAGAGAGCTCCAGGGCTGCAGGCTCCTCCCCGCCCACGGTTCCACCCCTTTCTGCTCCTTCCCTGGGTTGCCACTCAGGGTCCCCCCATTCCACACACACACCCCACTGCAGCTCCTCAACCCGTTTGCTACCTTATGTCCTCTCCACCCCCCACTGCGGCCCCAAGACCGGAGATGCCCTGTCCCCCCGTCACAGCCTGAGGCCGCAGTGGGGAGTGAGTGCCCCCCCAACCTCCCAAGCTGTGAGGCTGCCTCCTGGAGCCGCTGTGTGGGGGGGTCCCAGTGCTCGGGCTTCCCCCACCACCCCCTGCGCTTCTGCCAGGGATGGGTTGGAGCGCTGGGGGCTTCCCCGGCCCCCTCCCCACCTTCTGCTGAGGACACCGCCAGGGAGGCATGGGGGGCCCCCAGCTGACCACTGCCCCTGGGCGCTTCGGCGGCGCTCTGGCGGCTTTTTTTTGTTTTTTTTTGTTGTTGTTGTTTTTGGCACTTCGGCAGCTTTTTTCCTTTTTTTTGGTGCTCCGTCCCTCCCTCCCCCCCCCTTTTTTTTTTTGCGCTTGGGCAGCCGGAGCCACCTTATGACCTCGTTACATCCGAATTCGCATTATCGTGGGGAGCGTTATACTGGGGTTTCCCTGTAGTGTTTCCTAATATCCAACCTAGACCTCCCCCACTGAAACTTGAAACCACTGTTCCTTGTTCTTCTCATGGCCCAGAACTAATGTAGGCATGCTTACATCATACCCTCCAGCTCTGTTGCCAATATAGCAGAGAAAAGGAAGTGAGACCATACAAAAGGGTGGCTGGCTCAGGCACTTGAGTTACATGCTGAACCTGAGCTGCTACCGCAATTCAGCAAAAATGCTAGCAGTCTCCAGGCTCCTCTGCCAGTTCTCCTGCACGATGTTAAAGTACCATGTTAAAGTTTTTAGTCTAACCACACTCCTGACCTGTGCTCTGTGCAGCTGAATTTCTAATTTTTTTTTTAATTAAAAAAATTCATTTGTTTTCATCCGAGTGAAAGCTAAAGCAGTTTAAAATGCAGGGCTCTCTCAAACTATGTACAGTCTTAAAACTGGGATAATCTTAAACTTGGGACTATCTCAAACTCTAGGCCATTTAACTTAAAATATTCATGAAATTGATGATCAGCCCTGAATTAGATTCAAAGCTGAAGCACTTCATAATGCCTAAACTTTCTTTAGCAGGCCTGCTTTACCCTGACAAAAAATAGTCCATTTTTCTTGAAGCGTAAAGTTTATAGCTTCAAAATACTCAACCCATTTTCTCTAAACTGAGCTAAATTTAAACAAAATCTGATTCGTTTTTTAAAGTTATGCATATACAAAAATTCTCATTCAAATGCATGGAGAAGCTGGGGATTATTTTATTTAAAAAAATATGCAGAACTCAAAAACAGCTAAACTGGTTCTGTTCAAATTTACTTCTAAAAAAACCCCCACTTCTAGACTGGCGCACCACGCCCAGAAAATCTGAGTAAAAAAAGGAATATGTTTGAGAAAGTTATAAACCACCAAAAAAAGGGGGCAAACTAAATGAACTCAACCTTAAGTATAGTGTGTGCTGCCTTCATATGCTATAATTATATACATACTTTTTTGTTATGCAAAAGGTAATAAAAAACAATACACCGCTACCTCGATATAACACAACCCGATATAACACGAATTCGGATATAGCGTGGTAAAGCAGTGCTCTGGTGGGGGCGGGGCTATGCACTCCGGTGGATCAAAGCAAGTTCAATATAACGCGGTAAGATTGTTTGGCTCCCGAGGACAGCATTATATCGAGGTAGAGGTGTACCTTTTTAGAGAGGAAATCTATCTAAAATATTGACCACTGGAGTTTGGAATATTGTTTCCCATGTGATAACTTTTTTTTTATTAAATACAATTTAGAATGATCAGATATTGATTTATAGATGTGTAGATAAACAAGGTAAATGCAATGTGTATGAAGAGTGAAACTCACCCAAGTGCAGAGGGTCTGCACAAGATGCAATGCACTTAAATTAAATTAATAACGGCATTAAGGGTTCTTGTGTGTGGAGCCTGGCATGAGGCCTCTGCACTGGAGTGAATTTAATCTAAAACAAAAAAATCAGGCTGTCTAGACAGGAGATATCTGTTCTCTGTGGCAACGTGTGCTCTTTTCTGCCCTTGTTACAGAAAGGTATTTAAGTATGTGCCTACCATCTTTAAGCATGTGAATTGTCTCATTGGAGTCAATGGGAATATACATATATATGCTTGAAATCTAGCATGTGCTTAAGTACTTTGATGAATTGGGGCCTTTATTAGCAAACAAATAAGCTGCTTAGAAATTGGCATTTGCCTCATTAAATAATTTATGGAATTGTGAGGTTGTTCAGAAATCTCATGGGCTAAAAATACGTAACCTTACTACGCTTACTGTAAGGAGTCTTGTGCCATACAGAACTACTCTTAGGCCTGGGCTACACTAGCGTGGGGGTTCGAACTGAGATACGCAACTTCAGCTATGCTATTCGCGTAACTGAAGTCGAAGTATCTTAGTTCGAATTACCTGGCCGTCCTCACGGCGGCGAGTCGACTGCCGTGGCTCCCCCGTCAACTCTGCTTACTCCTCCTGCTGAGGTGGAGTATGGGCGTCAATTCGCGGATCCATATATCGTGTCCAGACGAGACGCGATAAATCGATCCCCGATACATCGAACACTACCCGCCGATCCAGCGGGTAGTATAGACGTACCCTGAGATGGTTCCACATTAAGTTCCACTAAAAGGGGTGAGAACACTTTCCCCATTAGAACGAGTAACCTATTTCATATCAGTCTGTATAGTATATGTACACACTGATAATCTATCTTCTCAACTGTAGTTATACAGCGCTTTTCAGGCTTACTTACATTTTTCAGGTGGAGTTATTGTAATCGTCTGAGCTGTAAATTCTTCATCAAAATATCTGGTGTCTGTCTCAGATGTCACTTGAGGTTTAAAAGGAGGTACGAGCTGATGGGAACAAATAAACAAGAAGAGTAATGTTAATATACCTGAATTCAACCAATTATTGTAAGGAGTAGACATGCCTGCCTTGAGTCCAGCCTTGAGTGCAGGGGACTGGACTAGATGACCTATTGAGGTCTCTTCCGGTCCTACATTTCTCTGATTCTATAAAGATCTCATGTAGCTCAGTGGATAGACCAAAAGACTTGTAATAGGAGGATCATGGATTGAATGACGCTTGAGTCCCTGACAGCTAAAATGACAGGCAAATCATTAGACTTTTGTGTGTCAGAGATGCTAGTTTAGAAACAAGGTAAGATCAGGAGCACAAAAACAAAATGACTTTTCTTAGATAAATTGCACTATAGAAAGATAATTAACTAGAAACTCTGAATAGGGTGTTTAGGGTAGATAAAAATTAATGATATATATTTTTTAATTTAAGGTTGACTTTTTAAATTTAAATACAGTTTTATTTTTAAATTATAACAGCCTATGTTAAGGCCTAAACTTACTATTATATACTAAAATCATTTAAATTAATTCTAAAAAAAATTAAGCAGCACATTTGTTGCCAAGTTTTAAAGAAAGTCAAACCACTGAACTGATGAAAGTTACTACTAAGCACTTGGCACCAGAATTTGCTGAAATGCCAAACCAGCTTTTGACAGTAGTATCCTCTTTTGCAGATGTAAAGAGAATATTTTCTTCATTTTAGTTTATTTACCTAGTTCAGTCCAACACTAATTCATTCAAAGCTTAGCAACTGACAGGGAGCTGAAAAGGCAGGAAAGCTTGTTTTCCTTTTCTAATCTCTGAATAAAAACTAGGTGTGAGAGAACGAGATCTACTAAAATCTTAAAAGACATGGTAAACAAAAACAATCCATACAGTTCACTAACTACAGATAATACTTCCTTTGTTTAATAAATCCGTTAGTTTTAAATGCAAAGCATGTTTTGATAATTTTTTTATAAACTTATCCATCTAGCACTGAAAGGTAGTTTTATGTAACTGATAAAAAATGTGTCTTAGGCATTTTAATTACTATCCAAATAGAGCTTGACACAAATCACAAGTAATCATCTAGTAAATAAGAAATGCATTATTCAGCATTTTCTAAAGTACATACAAACATTAAGAATCTGAATAAATATAAATTAAGCTATATAACTGCTTAAATAAATGTGTACAGATATAGTGTATCCTCCTAATTAGCAAAAAAAGACATTCTAGACTTAGTGTAAAGACTAGATTTAGTTGCAAATGAACATGTTTTAATGATTACCAATAAATGAGAATCAACCTTTTTTCTACAGGAAAATAACTAAAAAGCAGAAATGCAAAACATGATTAAAATCAGTGATTAAAATCAAGCTTTCCTGCTTGCTGATTTAAATCATTTTAATTTAAATTAATTCACCCTGATGAGATTCTCATTATTCACTGAAAGACCAACATTAGAGCACTCATCTTACAAAGGCTTACATGTGTCCTTACCTTATACTCCGAGTAGTTGCAATCAAGTCAATAGGACTACTCAAAGTATGTAAAGGTAAGCTTGTGTGCAAGTCTTTGCAGGACAGGGCTCGTGTTTGTCACGAACTGTTTCTAAAAAATAAACAATATGCACACATACATTTTAAATGTCAAAAAAGGTCAATTCATGTTTAGGTCAGCCTCATGAACAAAACATTTCTGGATTTTTTCGCACTATCTTCACAGTATTTTTTAAGTGCAAAGAAGAACTGTCATGGTTAAAAAACTGCTCCAGTTCACTGGTTTGTTAGTGCTTGTGGACTACACAGTGCCATGAAATTGGCCTGATCAATGGATGACAGAAGACATCAGAGATCCATCAGGAATTTCAACAGAAGATAGGTCGGGGCAACACAAATGTGTAAGCTTCAGGAGGATCATCACCTTGGGGTGAAAAGTGCAAGAGTAGGATTTTCACATAGAAAAAAGGGTGCAAAGTTTTCACTATATCTTTAACCAAAACTTGGAGAAGCAAAATTGTAAACACACTCCCAGCTCTAAGCTTGACTAAATGCTGAATAACAGCAAAACCAGCAAATTTGTGTGAGAATTGTGCTTGCCTTCAGTCAAGAAGATAATCCATTTCTAAGTGTTCATGATGCTTGCACATGTTTGGTCTATCACATATTAGAAAGTTGACCATGATAATAGCCTTAGTTCCTTCAAATGAATTTAAGAGTCTCCATTTCCACCCCACCCTTTACTACTGATATGCACACTCTTTACCAGAGGATGCTGATTTCAGAACCATTTAATTTTTTGAGCCTATTCTAAACCAATTTCATCGACCCAATAAGTGCTTCAGAACAACATGTATATTGTACTTGCATACCACATTAGATGCATCAAGTCCCCTTAACATGTCCCGTGCCAGACAATATTAAACCTTGGGTCACCTACTTTCCAGTTTTGAACATATATTTTTGCTGTAGCTGCACTATGCTTAACAAGAGGATTTTACAATCACACAACTAAGTGAACATCACTAGTGTGACTGGAATCTCTTTACAAACTTCAGAAGCTGCTCATTGCTTACATGACAGTGTGATGGTTTAAAGCAAAGGATTTTTGCACCTCTCTCAAGTGGTTAAAGATGATCTGAAATGCATTTCTTTTCTCTTTTTAAAGAGATACAAAAAACTGACTTCCCCAATCTTTATCAGATTAGATAAACAAGTCTAGGCATAAATTGGTTTTAAGATGTATTTTTAAATGGGTTCTTCCTCCATTTATCTACAAAGTCTTACATTCAGGTTCCAAGGTTTCAAAGTTTTCACTGCTACTATGGAAGGCAACTACCACGACATAAAGGCAGCAGCTCCCTGTCCTGCTTTTGGTATTAGTCTTACAATCACTTTTGAAGGAGAAACAAAGTCAACATTTACAAATGGATGCATTTTTAATTTGGAGCCTCAACCTATATTGTGCTAATGATCTGGGATCTGTATGCCATCTTTTAAATGTATTCAATTTCTAAAAGGCATCTCTGTTCAACTTAAAATATACGACGTTCCAAATAATGTTATTTAATATAATCAGAGACATACGATAGTATCTGCATATTCTCAACTCAAACTAAAATCTTAAGTTAGTTTCAGTGTCTTTCCTATATCAGAGGCCAAATCCTGGTCCCACTGAAGCCAATCGATTTACACTCTGAGGCCAGGATTTAGCTCTCTCACCTTGACTTTGAAACATTATCATCAAACAATTCACTTGCCAATTTACTCCACAACACAAAGAAAAAAACTACAATGTAACACTATAGCAAAAATATTGGCAAACTATTCTACACAGATCTCTAAGCAGTACAGATGTTGGAGGAAAAACTAAACCTTCACACCTTAATCAATGGAGACTATATAATCCTAGCATATCTATACTGTGTAACCAGAATGATAACGTAACTATGTTCTAAGTAACTAGCCATGTTGGGAACTGTTTTTGAAGAGCATGCTGTCCCGATTAGATCTCTAACTGCCAACGCTTCACCTTTAGTTCTAAACACCTCTATACTCTTTTCTGGAAAGGAGGGAATTATCCCAGGTGAGTGTTCTAATCAGTGGGCTAAAAGTTATAAGGTGGGTACCACTACAAGTGGAATCTGAACTAATAAGTATCCTTTGAGCATACCTACTAAACTAGACCCCTAAGAGGCTGCAGGTGGTTGAACACCTATCTTCTTTCTCCTGGTTTGTGAATCGCTCTGGGGCTTAGGCAGGAGACAGGCATTCAGATGCCTAGAGTGAAGTAGCAGCACACATGCCCAGGAGCAGAAACAAAGGTGCCTACGGGGTATGGCAGGTGTTTTGTGGATTGCAATGGAGCCAAAACTTGGATTTAGGTGCCTATGTCTGGGGTTTAGGCACTTAAGTACTTTAGTGGATCCCACCCTATGTGACAAACATTTTTTCATCTACATATACTACTTAAAATGGTGCTATGAAAATTATAATTTTACAAAAACGTGTGATTTTCATTTAACTTTATTTGATTGGAAAATATTATACCACAATAACAAAGGATTTTTAAATTAATACACTTAGTCATCTTATTATTACCTATTTAAAAGCTAAATACAGATCTAAAACTTGGAGTCAGAAAGAGAATTTATTCCTCAAATATAAACTAATTTACATACAACTAAAAAGGAAGTTGTTCATTTTTTCAACCACAATATTCACATCCCTATATTTACAAAAACACACACATTTCCCAGAATTCTCCCCACCACCCCCCATTTAATTCTGCAACACAGTCAGTCTCAGACAGGCGGACAAACTAATATGGACTTGCTGATACAAAGTAGTTCCCAAGCAATGTGCCCACCTATAAAATGGTCATAAGATTCCAGAACAAGTTGTACCTGTAAAACATTCCAGTTTTTTGGTCTTTTCATGTTAAACTTTTCAACAATTCAGAGAGTAGGCCACCCATCATGGTTTGAAATCAAATGATCTGCTCCACCCGCAATTCAACAGCCATCCAACAGCTATATTATCATTTTCCAAGAATCTGTTATGGTTTTCCACAAATTATATAAGCAACTTAGGTAGTACCAAATATTCAGCAGACTGTACCCTATTTTGCAATCCCAGTACTTATCTCCAGTAAAACAGAGTGCTCAACTCATGGGAAAAAATCATTCAAGTTATGACCTTTATGAGGGGGATGTTATCCTGACCTCAGCTGGGGATGGCAGAGATGACAACATAGGAACATTTCTTATCTCTAAATACTGTAGCCATATAGTAATTGTTAGTGAGCAACAAAATAACAAAGAGGCAGGAAATGATCACAGAAAGTAATAAAAATAAAGAGCAATACACAGCTCTTTAGTAAGATATATCAACCTACAGGTCCTTCTATAAAATTTGACTACATCAGCAAGTGACTGTGGGTCTGAACCAAAGCCCACTGAAGTCAGTAGCTCAAATGAAATATTCTCATTGACTTCAATGGGATCTGAATCAGGCCCCATCCAGACTTCATCTGTCCAAATGAGTGATGGTTCTTGAAATACTTTGAAAATTTGCATGTTGGTTACAAAAGCAGAGTGTTGCATGAATCTTATGGAGCAGAAAGGTAAGAACAATAACAAACAGATGTCTTAAATACTTTTAAATATTATCAATTATAGAGATGTTTCACAATAGAAAGGGAGTGATGTCATCTAGTCCCATCCAAAGGGGAAAAAAACACTATTTTACATTAAGTAGTTAGGTGTGTCTCAGTAACATCCAGTGACTCAGTCGATGAAACTATAAATTACGTCAATATTCCAGACAGTGGGGAAAATAAAACAAGAAAAACACACAAAACTCCAGGCTGCAACCAGAAGGGAAAAACTTGATATAAAATACTTTGTTGATGTTTTTGGATTCATTCTGATTACACAACCTTACACATTGCCTTTCGCGATCAAGATATTCCACAGCAATTTACAATGCAATAGGAGATGCTCATAATGCAGAGACTGTGTAGAAAAACATGGCAGCCCCATCACCTTGTGTGTGTGTATAATATCTATATATTCACACACATCAATACAAAAAAAAGCTACCAAAAAGAGAAAATGGGACCTAAAATTGAGATATACAAATACATGTGACACACAGTGCACAGGAATGTCTCTCCATTCCTTTCATATTTTTTCCACTAGCAGTATCATTTATGTAATCATGACTATAAGTATAAATACATTTATGCTTCAGTCATGATTGTATAAAATTATGCACCAGTCTTTTTGATCTATGCAGCCTATTCATGCACACACAACTGTGCCTCAATTCTTTTTTCAAAACACCAAATCAACTTCCTGATCTGCCATCCTATGCACACCTCATAAAAATCTTCCCTTGACTGTTGTAAATAAAATGTTGTGGCTATTTTCAAATCATATCACCCAATTTTAGAGGAAGAACCTCTACAAAAAATTTACCGGCTTCTGTAGAATTCTTGTCAAGAAATGAGGAACCGGCACATGGAGCTTCGGCGCCACCTCCAGAAGAAAATGAGAGAAATGCAGTAAGAAATCCTTTCCTAACAACCCTTCCCATAATGCGGAAGCATAAAAAATGGGTATAAATCATTTACATAAATGTAGACACAGAGGGATATTGTATTATGACTGCACATTTATGGGATTAGAGGCATACTCATTTGCTTGAAACCGACTTTGTAAGTGATGTCACCAGTGCTCAAACTGGACCAGGTCACACCACAGAGTCTTCTTACTTTTTTGAGGCTGCCATCTTATTTTTTCATTTAATCTACACTTTCATTTAAAAACAAAAAAGTAAGTCTCCAGTGCTTATAGATGCTAAGAAATCCTTAAACATATGAATCAAGCATAACTGCTGCAGAGATGTCTATCTGAGTTTGTAGAAAGCCTGAAACAACAAATCCAGGAGATGTGAATTGCCCCATTCATCTCAAATGGGTTTTAGCTCAGAAGCTCAATCATGAGGATATAAATGTCCACACTGTTAACTATTACACTCCTGATTACAGCATTTAAGAAAGGACAATCATATTATGAAGATTTCCATAGTCTACTGTAACATTTTAATTTGGTGCCACAAATGGTGCTTGGGTGATCCCACCACATCTTGCTCCACCCTTCTGACCTGTGAAACCAAAAGTCTGGAGGGAAGGAGCTGAGCACAACAAGGGACCCAAGCCTACATCTGAACCAGCAGCTATGGTAGGAACTAACGAGCCAGGTGGCCTTGTCCAGTGGTTGCTGCTCCTCCCTCTGCTCCAGGCTCCCTCAGGCTCAGGCAGACAACACAGCACCAGTTACACTGAGATGACATGTTTCAGCCCTTTCTTCATAACCTAGGAAGACTGGAAATACTTTTTTTAAATTAAAGTTTAGAGTGTGACTTCACCACATGCCTCTGGCAACCAATGTCCAAGGCATGTGTCTACTGTGCCTATGCCTTAACGCAATCCCAGACCATGTGTTCCTTTACCCCACATAGAGGGAATCACACCTGGAGAGCCCAGGAGAACCTGCAAGATCAAATTTTGAACATCTGCACAATCCTTTGTGAATTATATTTCCTTTTGGCATTCAAAGTAGGTGAAACTTAGGACAGTAGCACCCCTTTTTTCCCCTCTCAGCTCAAGATCTGGATGCTACCCATCATTCATGAACAATAAGGGCAAATACAGTATCTCACTGTGTGCAATTATATAAAGAGATTTTATACCAATCTGAGGCTTTTCATGCTTTCTAGATAATGTATTTCCACTGCACGAGTAGTTCAACATAGTAGAAAATATTCCATATAATCCAAAGGTTAATCAATCAAATGATAATCATTATGTCTTGGAAACTCCTAACCACCATTTTAGTTGCTTACAAATGGCTGAAAATATTACGGAGTAGCTGTACTGCACTAACGCTGAAACTACCGAACTAAAAAAATGAAGAAGCTGATTCTGACTTTGCCTCATTAAGGTTACATAAAAAGGAATTTACCCTCAAACTGGTATGAACTGAACATCACATTAAGACCCTGATCATGCACTTATGTATGTGTTTATATCTACGCATAAGAGTAATTCCACTGAAACCAATGGGACTCTACAGATGCTTAAAGTTAAGCAAATACATATTGTTTGCAGGATCAGGGCCAAAACAATTTTCATTTCATACCAATGAAAAATATGATCATACAACACTAATGGTTAAATATATCATTTACCTGAGTCATTCCCAGTGAAGGGTGAATAGCCACACCTCTTAATTCTTTAACACTTCTCCTCAATGTATTATCCAACTGAAATAAATTATGGCCAAAATGTCAAACCTGGACAACTGAAATTTGGCTCCTAAATCCATATTCAGGCACCTAAATAAAAGTTTAGCCTGAATAGCCATGTATTTAGATGCCTACATGCAGATTTAGGAGTCAAACTTCAATAAACAGAGGGCAGCGCCTCAGCTGATATAAACTGTCTTCATTCCAATGGAGTGAAGACAATTTATACCAGCTTAATTTATACTCCAAATTTGAAAATGCTGACCAATATTCATAACATACTGTTTGGGGTTAAATCGTGGATACATGTTTCTACAGCTATATTGACAACTACAAACACACACAGAGATTTTCATTATCTCTATCGTGGTTGTTCTGCAGACTTTCCAAGAGCATCATATAAATATAAGAAGAAACTGAACAATGAAAAACAATATCCGTGTTCATTCATTACGGATGACCATTTATAACCTACTCATAATTACATTTCAGTATGACACTGGTTTTTCCCAATTCCTGACAACAAAATTACTGTACACTCTTGCTCTTTACACATTGATATGAATTACAACATGGGAAGTATAATTTTCACTTTGACCACAGTGTGTATGTTTTTAAAGTATACAATATAACACATAACTTTAAAACATACACACCATTACAGCTCACTAGAAATGTCATCATATGTTGTACCTTAAAAGCTACCATCTTGTTTACTAGACACAGAGTCTTAATACAAGTCAAAGAATGTGTAGTTATAAAAATCAAGTCTTGGAATATTATTGTAATTTACATTTTAATGCCCAGAAATCACATGTTGGGCCATCCTATCAAATTTTACTGGAAATCTATATCATTGATCCTTTAAAATGGCTACTTTGCAGCATTCAACAGAATAAATCACATGCTGATAATAAATTTAGGTGTGATTTCAGGAGACTGATTTGTAAATTAGTTAAAGCAGACAGAGAAAATCCTAAATCAATTGTGTAAAGAAAATGGGGAGAGTATACCACTAGAAATACTAACATTCACTCTCATTCCATCACAAGTGTGCTCACCCATAACTTTTGAAAATATTTCTCACAACTCACATATGTAGTTGCCATTTACAAAACGGTTTGGACTAACTGATCAATGAAGATTCCAAACAGTTTAGGTATGTGATGTTCTCACACAGATTGGAACTCATTAGCCAAATCATTGTACATAGCAATACACCAATACATTTTAAAAGGGACACTGTCAAAGTTGGTAGTCCCAAAATCTGACCTACCTCTTTGATGTTTTTCCTTACATATGTCTGCAAAGACTGTGTAGTTCTCTTGTGTTCTTTCCAAAACAATTTTTTCAATGCTCCTTTAAAAAGTTAAATAAATGCTAACAGCTCAATACCTATCTGAGCAAACTTTCAATAACAAAACAGTATATGAATGCAATGGAGGGAAAGTGTTTTGGTAAAGAACAAGATTTCACCTTAAAGTTTCCAATGGATTATCATAGTGATATTTTAACATTTTAAAAAATATATTGTCAGTGTGTCCTTTAAAATGTTGGTTTTCCTTTACTGACCATAAAGCTTTTGTTTTGTTTTTTAAACTGTTGATATAATGGGCAAAAAGCGATTGGAACCTCCATAACTAATTAAAACCAACATCCATAAGAATCCAGAATGCTTTTTGTGGTTTCTTTATGTCATGTAAATTCAGTCAACTGGCATTATTTTGCTAATAAGTAGGTTTTGTGCATATAATTTAAATACCATTGGAAATCCAATGAAAAGATCAGTCTGTTAACCATTTTCTGATCCTTTTACTACTTTGCACAGAAGCAACAAAAAAGAGAATTGAGAAGATCTATTTTGCAATGTTTATGATGATGTTGCAGGCAATTACACTGAAGTATGACTCTCAAACAGGAATTGCCTAAAGAGAGCTGTGGGAATTCTCCCACTCCAACCTCCCTTCCTTAAACCCTGATTCAGCGAAGCCTTTAAGTATGTATTAAGCAATAAGAGTTCAGCACATGCTTAAGTGCTCTCGTGAATCAGGGACCCTGGAACAACATTTGACAATTTAAAAATTAAATTTTCTTCTAGCCTAAATAAAAGTATAAATACTCCAAAAAATGGTCCTAAAGGAGTCAGAGAAAATTCAACATTCAATTATATCTAAAAAGAAGACTAAGATAAGACTTTGTCAACCTATTCAGTTTCTCAGTCTCATACACAGTAAAATAAAAAAAAAAAAATATGCAGTAATCAACTCTATCGGGATTGAGATGATCATAGGAAGTGCCTGGCAAGGTCATTCTCTTTCCTTTGCCTTCAAGATTTTTTTCTGCCCAAAAATAGATACATCGGAACAAAATGTATAACTATTATTCAATTTTCATTTCAGAACGAGGACTTTCTCTGCTCTTGCCTACTTTACAGCACGTTATTATTATTCAGTTAATGTCAACAAACTGATCCAATTAGACAGCAGTATCAGACAGCCAATCGTTCATTTGCATCTGTTGGTCAGCCAGAGCTACTAACTGTGGCAAACAAGGTAGTGTCCTATTGTCGTGAAACATTTATAAACTTTAGGTTAAATAATCTTGTTTCTAGTAACAACAGATTGAAGTTGGGTGAACAAAAAGAGATGCACATTTTCCTAATAAAAATGGCAAGTTAGTTGCACGAGAATGTAGTGCACACATATACAAAAGCACATGCTTTTTTTTTTCCCACTTGCCCAAAAATGAGGAAGCGGTCATACATTTAGGATAAGTCCTTCCAGTACAACCAGTAAGAGAGTGCTGCGGTAAAACAAACACATTTTATATGTTAGGATTCTGTTTTTCCCCTGGCATCATCGTGCCTAACACATCCATCACATGCAGGTATTGTAACTAAGGGGATCCCTCTTTTAATTGTTCAGTTAAGCAATTTTCATTTCTCATATCAGCAGGTTTAATTTCTCAATGCAGTCATGGAAATGGTAAACAATGATTAGGATCACTCCTATTTTAAGACCCTACTGAGGGCCCAATCCAACTCCCAGGGGCAGCGGCAGCTAGCACCCACCACAATGGAAATATTATGGGGTCTGAGCTACGTTTCCACCCTGGCCCCCGCATTTCATTCTTAAGCAAGTTGTTTCATGCACTCAGGCAGGGCGGGAGTGAGACTCAGAGGGGCTGTAGTGGCTGTAGCAGCATCCAAGATCAGGCCTGGGAGCCTCAGCTCCCCTCATTCCCCATGCAGGGCACCACCTCACACTCCCCTTATTACTCCTAACACCTCAATTCCCCCTGCAGGGTACCTACCCTGCTCCCCTTCCTGGCCTTAACACACATGACTTCCCTCACTCTACAAGCAGGGCATCCACCCTGATTTACATAGACACCTGACTTCTTCCCGCTCTCCCTGACTCTCCCCATTTCCCATGCCTAGTTTGGTGCTTCGTACATTTAGGTTTCACTATGCATTTCCACCCACCCAATCCCCATTCAAAGCAAGCTTCTGAAACAAAACACTTGCAGTGATTTCAATGGGTGCAGGATCAGATCCTGATTGAGAAGCACAGTCTCGTTGACTTGCAAGGAACTGAAGCACATGCTTAAAGTTAAGTACATGCACAACTGCGTGTCTGGATCAGGGCCAGAGTACTCAGCGCCATGCAGAATCAAGTCCATTGTCCTTAAATTTGATTTTTCTTTTTTCTTGTTTAGTTGAGAAAGACCCTGGAAGTTAGTTTGGCAGCATTTTTCCCTTGTTTCCCACTCAGAGCACCCCTGTATTTATACCTTAAAATAGTTTGCAACACAAATACTTTTAACTTAAATGTTAAAAAAAACAATTCCTTTGAGGGTCCCCCATATTACAATTTCTCTGGCATATTTTTAACTATACTCTTGCAGGGGCAACCAAAATTTCCCTTAGAAGTGAAGGAGATTTTGTCTTAAATACCTGAGCACATTACATCACTTGATAAATTTATTTGTTCTAATTATCATTCTAAAGGTACTTGCAATATTATGGTTGACTGACAGTAACATCATGGTTAAGGTTCTGTCAGATAACATTTAGATTTAGATATTCTTGTGGCAGCAAATAACTTGCAATCAGCTTTGCGGAAATATGAATTTGTAACATAAAAATGGTAAACAACAAACCAAAACTGCCAAGCCATCACAAAGTAGGGGGAAAAGAGCTCTATGATAGTAACCCATGAAAAGAGACATAGCAAGATACAGTACAGTGTTAGTCTTAATATCACACAGGTTTCTTGTTCAGGTTTTCTTGTTTGCCAAAGAAATACCACACCAATCACAAATTCGAGTTTTCAAATCCTCACATACCAACAAGTGAAAAATATGTCTCAGCAGCACAATCGCCACCCTGCACTTAAGCAGTTTGTCTGAGTTGTCTGGCTGGCCGGGAGAAGAAGGCAATGCTTTCTGGCTTGGGGGAGGAGGGAAGACGTAAATCTGCTGGAAAGAGCAGTCAGCATGGTAAATGACTCACCACATAGGAATGTGGGGTTTAAAAGGTCAGTTGGGCCTGGCCTCTCCCTCTTTACTCAGAATACGCTTCCTTGTGGCAGATGTTCAGTGCAGGTACTCCATAAATTAAGGCTCAAAAGAACAAAAAAATGGCTTAGAAAAGGAATTAAGGAGAGGTGCTTGGTAACTGAGCAAGCCGGGGGCAGTTGGGGGCTCCTATGACTGGTACAGCATGGAGCCAACCCCCCCCATCATTACAGTCCACCTTAACCCCCTCCTACAAGGGGGCGTGATCCGTAAGGTCCCGGCAAGGGAATTGCTGGAGGGATCTGGATAAATAGGGAGGAGCTGTGGAAGACCCCTCCCACCCCGGAATTGGCTGGAATTGGTAAGGTCCCGGCAGTAAATCTGCTGGAGGGACATACATTTTGCACCTGCACTGTACACATTTTTATCCGCCGGGTTAGTCCCAGACATCTGTCAATAATAAAATTGCGGCCTGATTAAACCCATATCTAATGTCTCCTGCCATTCTTTCGGCATAGCCAGACAAACATGGCTTAATTTGAGCAAAAACAAATAGGAAAGACAATGTAACTTATAAAAGATATGACTTATTTGGCAGGTAGATCAGTTGGTAGGGATGCCAAATGATCCTGTCAGAATACCGGAGACCTATAACAATACATAAGTTACCTCAAATACTACAAAAATGTCTGAATCTACACAGTCAGTTTATAAAACAGCTTAAATCAAACTCAGTTTCACTTCTAGAGGGAAAATAAACTAACCATCTTCTTTCTAGAAATCACCTGAGAAATGTCCAGGATCACAGTAACAGGCATAGAATTATACAAAGTGAGCCAAATTACCTCACTAGAGTAAACATGCGCAATGTCATTGACATTAATGGGGTTGTACCACTTACATCATGAGTGATTTTGGCTCAGTATTTTAATACCACACTAGTTTTGTTAGATTCTCTTTTACAACCCATCTCAAAGAAAGGCTTCTGCTGGGTACAAAGACATCAGAAAATGCCTACTTGCTGTGTATCCTTTTCAAGAAGGATTCAGTGTTTAAATGATGACAGTCTTTTTCAAATAAAAAACAGGTACAATTTTTTAAAAATGTCATAATTATAATGGTCCAATTTTGAATACAGTTTCTGTTAACATAATGTGGTCCTAAAAAAGGAAACAACGATACAGAATATAACTACTGACTCCACATAAATATGTATAATTAAATAATACTTCTTTGACGGTGTATGGAGTTGAAAGAAAATGAGAGTCAATTCAGAAACACAGTGTTCACACTTTCTCACGCATCATCACTGACTTTTTTTTCCTCTTCGTTTTTTGGTTAAAGTTATAGGCCAAAAGAAGGGGGGGGGAGGGACTTAAACATTTAAACAATTAAAGGAAAATCTTAAGTGATTCTAGTTTATTTTTGGCACACTTTGGTTTTAGAATGTTTCCAAGTTATTAGTAGTATATTAAAACTATAAATAATTAAATTGGCTATTAGTATACTAATAGTATCAAAAAGTGGCAAAGTAATTTATGTATAATTTTAGAAACTAGAAGTTCAGTAATAGTTTCAATTGATTATCGCGCAGAAGCCAGACTATTCCATGCCATATAAAGACCTACCTTTTTATCATATACATCTTGCCAGTTTACTCCAACAAAAAAACTATGTCGCATAATTTCTTTTGCGTCATCTGGGCCTCCACCAAGGCTAAGGAGAGAAAAAAAGATTACACATTATACAAATGTTGTTCCAAAAATGAGACTCATTTATCATAATTGTTGGGAGATTAGCAGTTTGGTCATGAATATTTAGATTCAATTCTGTCCCTTTTCAGTAGGAAATGCTACATTCAGGTGACCACGACAGTAGAGGTGATGATAAAGGTATTTGACACAGTGCTCCATTTGACAGATAGGCTATTTGGTTATTCCCACTGAACTATTCATTACAGTATATGTCAAGCTTCATCCACAAATCACCACAACTCTATAACTAAGCTTACTTTAGTTTTAATGAAAGGCTAAGGAGTCTGACAGTATTGAAAAAAAATATCACTACACAAATTTGCAGGGGAAGTGCCAGGCACCAAAATGAATCAATAACAATTCATGCATTATTTATGTATTTTTATACAGTGCCCATTGCTGTAGCATCAGGATGTTGTAACAATTAACCATTTACGATAAAATAGTCAGAATATGAGATAATTAAGCATAAATTAATACATCATAGCCTGCTGAGGAGATTATTTAAAGGCTGCTCTATATATCCACACTACTCATTGTGACCTGAAGCTTGCCAAACCCAGACTCTGGCAAACCATCAGGAGTGAGTTCCATGGGTAGAGCCCTCAAATAAGAATGCCTAGCCAGTGGTCTAAAACAATGAAGTTATGGGAACCACCAACAAAAGCAAACCACCTGATCTGAACTGAGGCAATGGGAGTGTGAAGGGACATGCCCTCACTCTGGCTGAGAGGAGACTAAGGAGCTCTTCTGGGCCTGTTCAACACCAATGAGGTGCACCTGCAAGGTTTGTCCTGCCCGGTGGTGGGGGAGCTTAAAAGGGAAAACCTGCCACAGGAAGGGGCGGTGAACAGGAAGAGAGCTTCCTCACTTCAGAAAGCTGAGACAGGCCCCCAAGAGGGAGATAGCGGGCCTCACTACTCCCAAACTTCATGACCCAGCCTCAAAGCAGTATGCCCCAAGAGGAGGGCCTGGTGGTAGACTCCATTTTAGAGTAAGCCTAAAGGGCTGATCCAGGAAAACTGCCTGATATCCAGGTCACCCTTGCCTCTCCATTTTCGTACAGACTCCTCTCTCACACAAGGGAAATAAGAGGGGAGCGGACTTTTCTTTTGTTTGTTTCCTTGAAGAACCCCTCCACCCTTGAGCGTCAATCAACAGGGGAGGAAGACATTATAAAGGACCGGAAGCGGGGTCTGGAGAGGACTTAAGGGAGCCGAAGCCCTGCCCCCCACAAATGGTGGAGAATGCAGGCATAACCACATCTGATGCAAGCGGTTAAAAAAAGAAGTAATAGAGCTCAGCTGGTCCATGCAAGATGGAACAAGAGTGGTGGCGTAAGTCATTAGCAGAATGCAGCAGCAAGCTGCTCAGCAACAGCATGCCCCAACAGCAATTGCTGCAGCAGCAGATCACTCAGCAGCAAGTTCAGACCACACACCAACAAGAGCTGCTGAGGAAACTGATGGCCCAGCAGCAGGATTTTCAAAAGAAGATGATACAGCAGACAGACCGTGCCAGCCCTATGCCCCCAGGGAATTCCAGCAGGTCATGCGTCCATTAAGGGTGTTCCCTTGTCAGTATCAGTAAAGCTAACCAAGATTGGGCCAGACGATAACCCTGAAGCCTTTCTACTTACATTTGAGAGGGTGGCACTAGCAGCCTAGTGGCCCCTGATCAATGGGATTTGATCCTAGCCCCAGACTTGACAGATCACTGGAAGTGGTCAGGCAGATCGAGCCAGTGAATTATGAGAAAAGATTACCAGGGAGGAGGAAAGAAACCAAGATCTATAATGTAAATCTTCTTAAAGCCTGGAAATTTTGGATGGCACCACTGGTAACTTCCTCTCTGATGAAACCTGAATTATGGCCCCTAAGTACCCAGTAGTCAACAACTGCCAACAGTACTGGGGGGTGAGTGGCTCTCCCCTGCACAAAGGATGCTGCTCCTCAAATCTGATCAAGGCTTTCGCATAATACGTCCACCCACCCAGGGAGAACACACTTGGTCCAACATCATCTAGAGACTACCCCATGCCAGTTGGTCAGGGACAGCCCTAGACCATTGCCACAGAGGATGTGGGACACAGTCTGAGAGGAAGTGAGAGCAATGCTGGAGATGTAGGTAATTGTGGAATCCAAAACTGAATGGAGGAGCCCCATGATTCTTGTTCCCAAACTAGATGGTTCAGTTCAGTTTTGCACTGACTTTAGAAAGGTTAATTCCATCTCAAAATTCTACACCGACCAATGCCAAGGGTAGATGAGTTACTACAGTAGATGAGATTGGCAAAACACCAAAGCACTATCAACTTAACAAAAGGGTATCGGCAGATCCCTTCATCCCCTTCCTCACAAGAGAAAACACCTCTCTCCATCCCTTTTGCGCACTTCCAATTCAAGACTATGCCTTTTCCATGGAGGCTTTCCCACAGCTTATGAATAGGATCCTCAGCCCCCCCACCATCAATATGCTGCAGCCTACATACACAACATCGCAGTCTATAGTTCTACCTGGGAAGACCACCTCCAGCACGTAAAGGTGGTATTAAAGCCCTAAAGGATGCGGGACTCACAGTGTAAGTTAGCCATAGATGAAGTAACCTATTTGGAGTACAACATAGAAGGCAGCCTTATGAAACAAGCAGTCAACAAGGTACAGGCCTTAACAGCGTGTCCCATTCCCCACGTAAAGAGGCAAATGGGGAGGGATAGCTCAGTGGTTTGAGCACTGGCCTGCTAAACCCAGGGTTGTGAGTTCAATCCTTGAGGGGGCCACTTGGGGATCTGGGGCAAAATCAGTACTTGGTCCTGCTAGTGAAGGCAGGGGCCTGGACTCAATGACCTTTCAAGGCCCCTTCCAGTTCTAGGAGATGGGATATCTCCATTAATTTCAAATAAGGCATTTTCTCGAGCTGGCAGGATATTACTGGAGGTTTATCTCCAGTTTTGCCTTGATTGTTGCCCTCCTTATGGACCTCATAAAAGGCAACAACACTAAGACAACCCAGTGGGGTGAGAAATGCAAGGATGCTTTTAGCTAACTAAAAACACAACTATGCCGGCTGCCCATGCTCTTCAGTCCTGATTTTTCCTGGAAGTTCACACTGCACACAGATGCTTCGGGCTCAATGCCATACTCTCACATGACTTCAGAAAACACTCAGTCCTATACTTGAGTAGGAAGCTCTTTCCTAGAGAAAAGGCTTACTCAATTATTGAAAAGGAGGCATTAGCGATTAAATAGGTTATGGATTCCCTCAGGTATTACCTGTTGGGTAGCCCCTTATCGCTGGTCACAGATCCTCTATGCTTGATCCACTCCATGAAAGAAACAAACCCATGCATGAAGAAATGGTACCTTGCGCTACAACCATACAGTTTCAGAGTGCAACACTGAGCACAAAAAGACCATGTTAATGCCAATTTCTTTTCATGGGAGATTGGGGATGGAGACATGCCACCCCAGAACGGCCTTTCCGTCTTGAAGGGTAGGGTATGTGAAGGGACATGCCCTCACTCTGGCTGAGAGGAGACTATGGAGTTCTTCTGGGCCTGTTCAACACCAATGAGGCACACCTGCAAGACTTGTTCTGCCCAGAGTAGGGGGAGCTTAAAAGAGAAAACCTGCCACAGGAAAGGGCAGTGAACAGGAAGAAGGCTGCCTTGTCTCAGACAGCAGAGATAGGCCTGCCAAGAGGGAGACAGCAGCAGGGCTCACTGCTCCCAAAGCTGCATGACCCAGCCTCAAAGCAGTCTGTCCCAAGAGGTGGGGCTGGAGGTAGACCTCATTTTATACTAAGCCCAAAGGGGTGACCCAGGAAGACTGCCTGATATCCAGGTCACCCTTGCCTCTCTTTTGTTTTCCTACAGACTCCTCTCTCTTGTAAGGGCAGGAGAGGAGAGAGGATTTTTCTTGTTTGTTTGTTTGCTCGAAGGACCCCCCCCCTTCTGCGTGCGTGGTGGGGGAAGAGGAGGAGACATTATAAAGGACTGGAAGCAGGGTCTGGAGGGGCATGAGGGAGCCCCTGCCCTCCACAGGGTCACAAGAAAAGTTTTAGGTAATTGGGTCCTAGACCATCAGAAACTTAAAGGACAGTAAGTGATATCTTGATTTTCATCTAAAGGTAAACAGATAGCCAATGCAGACTACAGAAGACCCATGTAATATGCTCATAATGACTCTACTAGGTAAGTTTGCACAAGTTGAAATCCAACTTCTCTTCAAAAGTTCCTCCAAGTGGAGCACATTGATCCTTGCCTGGTCTCCAGACCAGAACACTGCAATGTGGTGAGATTCACATCCGGCCACCACTGCTCTCTGAAGTTCTAGACGTAGTAAAGTATTGGCTCGAATATGACCTCAGGACTGTGGACCATAATGGCAAAGGGCTAGCATACGCTCCAAAAGAGAGGATGCAGAAAGGGAAAGGTAATAAGAATTGTTCATTATTTGTCCCCATGTCCTGAAATATACAGAAATGGTGGCCAAACAGGGGACTTTGGATTATACAGCATACTAACTATAATTTCTTTTTGAGAAAATCAGCTGTCAGTCAGTCAAAGAACAAGCATAATATGTTACGCTCTCTAATTTATGAGTACACAATATTGATATTATCCAGCAACATAGATACAGTAGAACCTCAGAGTTACAAACACGTCGGGAATGGCAGTTGTTCGTAACTCTGAACAAAACGTTATGGTTCGTTCAAAAGTTTACAATTGAACACTGACTTATGCAGCTTTGAAACTTTACTAAGCAGAAGAAAAATGCTGGTTTTAATCATCTTAATTTAAATGACAGAAGCACAAAAACAGTCTCCTTCCCTTGCCAATCTTTTTTTTAATCTTTCCCCCTTATTTTAGTAATTTACATTTAACACAGTACTGTACTGTACTTGCTTTTTTTATTTGTGTCTGCTGCTGCTGATTGCGTACTTCTGGTTCCAAATGAGGT